TTATGAGACTGCCCTTGGGTGACCGTGTATGTTTTAATCTTCCTAGAGTTATATTTTCTTAAATTGCTCATTAACAAGTCCAGGTGGCTAAAAACTGATGTGTAACAGTAGGCTTAATAAGATGGTTTCATCCTGTTTTATCATTTTTTCAACTCATTTTTATATAGGCCTTCTTTCTTTGACTAATGGCAGCCCCTGGAAGGCCATGCTGGCTTCATGTTCATGTGAATAAGGGATAACCTGAAGTTGAGCCATGTTCCATAACCCAGCCAATGCCTTGGTAGAACAGTGTCTAGTATATAGTGCATCTGATTACTATCTTGAATCATTGCTGTTAACTTGGATTATTTTCTCTTCTGAGCAATATTGAAAAGTGATTAAATATATGGATATCTTTACCTTGTTCTTTTGTTAAAATGAAACTGTGGACACAGCACTCACAATCTTAACAGAAAACTACTCTTCCTATTTAGCCAAAATATGGGATGTTTCAGCAAAAATTCTCCTTCCTTTCAGCTACAAATTGTTGGAGAATTTAATTTATTTTACCACCTTCTGTCATTGTATGATCAGTATTCAGTCCACTATGGTTTAATTGTTGCTTATCCTATATTACTGATACTACTTTGGAAAAGATAAAAAAATCCAACATGCACTTCAAGGCTCAGCCAACCTGAAATTTCTGCATTATTTATAGACATTGGTGACGGTACCCTAAATCAATAAAAAATACTCAAGACTATATAGTCCAGTGGAAAATATGCATAGAAAGCAGATAATCACAATACATGGGAGTGCTGGTGTGGATTGGGTTGTCAGAAGGATATGGTGGAAACTGCTAGTGGCTATGCAATGCCCACACTCTATTTACAGAAACAAAACTGATGTAATTGGAGAAAGCAATGTGCCCAGATGAACACATACAAACAAATGAAGTTTACACAGCACCCATTACAATTAAGTATAGCCATGTAATTAAGTTCTGGACAATACTATATTCAAAAAAAGCACTTGGAAGGGAGTTAAAAAGATGTAAGAAATGTTTGTTTCTGTCTCTCTGTCTGCAATATAAAAGGCATACCTAAGGCCGGAGAAGTCATATTTTGACTTGGTAGGATGAAAACCAGAAATCAAGGATAATAAAGCAGAAAGACAAAAGTTCCTGATTCTCTCACGGCTTTGTGAGGCTGCCGTAACAGTCCTGGGTTGCCCATTCTCAGACTTTTTTTTTAAATGGAGACAGTAAACTCCCAATTTGTTTCAACTAATTCTGTATCAGAGGCAGGAACATTCAAGTCGCTTGTGTGTAGAAAAAGTTTTCTGGACCTCTGTCTCGGTTATATTGTCTCATTCAACATAACTTCATTGCATGGTCCCATCTATTTCCCAATCATACTTCTTGCCTGAGTTTCACAGCCATTTACTCATTCTCCTAGACCTTTCTCTTTAGATGCATGTAGTCACTTAAATTTAACAGGCAAAACCTGAATGAATCATCTTATTCTTCTGAATCTGCTCTTTCTTCTACTATAGCTTTCAGTTAATGATATAACTGTTGGACAAGTTAAGAAATCTTAAAACTTTGGAATTAAACCAAGTTTTTTCTTCTTCAATCTTAACATTCAATAGCTCATTGGTTCTAATACCTTCTAACTCAGGATTTTTTCTTTCATGGATACACTGCTCTCCATTCTCACTAATGTTGCTTTCATCTAGGTCCTCACTGTTAGTCCCTTAGACTAAAAAAAATTCTTAAACAGGTCTCTATCTTCCAGTCCCTCCTTCATCCTGTCATACTATCCCTATTTTGTCCAAAACAGTTAAATTCCAAATATATGGATCTCTTTATGCCCATCTCAAACTTAATTTTTTTTTCAGTTACTCTCTGTTGCCCACAGAGTCAGATTAAAATGTTATCAATGGTTCTTTTGAAACAGCTCCAACTTCCTTTTCAGGTTCTCTTCGATTTCCCACCGCCCCAAACAAACACCAACAGTACCGAGTGGGATCCTGTACAGTCCCATCAGTTTGCTGTTTTTATAAAATTTCTTCTCTCATTTTTTAATTTTGTTTGTGCCATGTACCTTGAATCATTTTCCGCTCCTCCCCCCCACAGATATACATTTGATTTTACATACTAATCAAGGTATAATTAATCAAGCCAATTATAATGCTTTCTCTTGCCCACTTGCCATATCAAAGGAGTTATTTCTTCAGCTCTTATTATGTTCTCTTGGGCATACTAATGTGTGTTCATTATATTGTTTTGGAGTCAGTTTGTGTCTTTAGGCATATTTTATGCACATATTTGAGCACCCTAGAATAGGTTGTTCTGTTCATCTTTCCATCCCTGGGTGTTCTGCACTGCCTACTACTGAAACAATACTCAATTCATGGTTGGGGTTTGGGACTAACCACTTTGGACTAATCAAATCACACTTGGCTTTCCTTGTAAGTAAAACATGGAATTTTAGGGTAAGTGCTTGCAGATATATATAAGAATAACTGGAAAATATTCCCTTCTGCTATAAATTCATCTTCTTTCCACTAAATCACAGTACCCCAGACCCAGAAGTCTCTCTGCACATTCACTCCAGAAATGCATTTCTCTTTTTAACCAAATATATTTGCTCCAAGCAATATTTCATGAACTTGATTTTGAAATGAAGAATTTATTTAATGAACTTTGAATAATCTATAGTTTTGAGTCCAAATTTCTGTAATGTTTGAAATGTCTGAAAACTCCTTAGTTTTCCTGCTTTAGAAACTTGCTTATTACTTTTCAGGAGACCTTATAGAGAAGATGATGACTTAGATAAGACCTTCTCAATTTAAGGGGAAAAAAGGAACAAGATGAGAACTCGGGGTCATGAAGAGATTAAAGAAAGCATACTTTGTCACATACAAATGGAATGTGTTTTAATAGCTTTCTGGGATCTACATGCAAGAGGGGCAGTAGAAGAACATCCAAGCTGGGGCATGCTCCCATTCTGAGATTTATTGTTTCCTAATGGAAAATGTTGGTGAAATGATGACAAATAGTTTTGAAATTGCAGTGCTATTTCCTATTTTATAAAATGACTCAGCTTAAATTGTAAATCAAAAATTCTAAATGGCTCATGGCTAATCTTTCTGTAAAATATATAAAGTTTATGAATTGGAATCGTCATACCAAACAGAAATGAATGCAAACTCAATTCATATATCTGATAAAAATTACATTTTGGAAGGACAACTAATAGTAATATATTTCAGCAGTAATGTATAGGCTGAACTTCTATAAAGTTTTTTTGAAACCTTATTTTCAGGTAACATAAAAAAGTAGCACATAATTTAAAGACAAAATTCATGTGGATTTATACCATGTGATAATGGTGGGAGTGATAAATTAAGAAAAGTAAACAAAAGGCAGACTTTGGCCTACAAATATTTTTTAAACACAAAATATTATACTGTTGAGAAAGGGTAGAGTGAACGTCTAATAATTCAGGCTAAAGATACAATATTTTTAACTACATGTGTAAGTATACACATACCATGTCTCTGTATGCTTGTCTGTATACATGTATGTGTTCATACACACACACTTATGTGTGTATACATTGTGACCATGTTAAATACATTTTTCCTTAGTGACAGAACATCAATACTGTACAGGTTGTGTTGGCTTGTCAGTTTGTTTTCTCTTTTTTGAAAAATATCAAGGAAACTAAATCTGTTATGTCTAATAATAACTACACATAATTTCCAAATTATTCACTTTTGATGTGTGGTCTTCGCTTTCATCGTAGATTCAAGGTTGTTCTCCTGAACAGGAAAGAAATAGGTCTTTGAAAGTAAACCCCAGTTCTGACATTTACTAGTATGACCTTGGGGAAGCTATTTAACCTTTATGAATTTCATTTTTTCGAGTGTTAAAGTAAGCAAAACAAGGAAATAAACAATCTATGTGGCCTGCTATTATGAAGATTAAATGACATAAAATAGAAAGCATAAAATAAAGCTTAGTTCCCTGCTCTCTACCCTTGATGGTAATTAATCCTTTGCTTGCATTTTTGTAACTACATCGCCTTCATCCCCCCCCCCCCCCCCTTATTCCCTCCCTCTCCCCTCTGGTCGCTGCCCACTTGTAACTACATTTTTTTAAAGAATCTTAAATTTTATTGTGGGAAAGTCCAGTGTCAGGCTATTGAGGTCCTAGATGTTACAAATGTATAAGTATGCTATTATCATGTTTAAAAATTTATCTTCATGAATATAAGTTTCTATAACATTCATGATGTTTTACTTTAACTTAAATTTATGGTCTTGATCCATGCCCTTCTCAAAGTCACTGATAACTGAATCCACCATAGATGTAAAATATTTTATTACCATACCCACTCTGAAGCAATGATATATTGTTATCAAAAATGATTAGAAAAGTTAGACATTATTTTTAGTATGGTCATTTTGTAGCAGCTTGAAACTCAGGGTCCGCAAAGAATTTATGAAAGTTCCTCTAAATCTATAATGTTCTATCATACTCTGCTTCTACTATTACATATGGAAATAAAAGTTTTCAAAACCTGCATTTCTGTGATATTGAAATAAATAATGGTAAAAGGAATATAAATTAATAATCATGAGTAATTACTTAAATTTATAATGCCAAATGCATTAACTTAATGAAAATTATAGGGTTCAACTCAGAGTTCCCTCTGTACTATCTCTGAAGTCTGAAAATCTTGCTCTGAGTTAACATTTATTTTATATCCAAGTGGCTTACAAAACCTGACTCATTCTAAACTATCAGAAGTAAATAAAAACAAGGTGCACTTATTTAACACACCTTTAAGAAATCTGACGAGATTTCTCACTAGTTTAAGTGCAATTGTTACCCTCCAATTGAGTTGAAAGCCTATATGGACCTATAATTTTTGGTGGAGTAAGGAGGCGTGTAGCCGCTTGGTTTTAAACATCTTCTACACGTGACGATATTAGCTCTTGGCAGTACTCACAGCTGACATGATGAGCTCTCCCCCCAGGCTCTGGATCTCAGCTTTAACTTGACTGCAGATTTTCAGCTGGTGAGAGTAGAATTTAATCTGTTCTAGATAGGCCAACAAGTCCTGCTTGCATGATGGATCTGGACACTAAATATGCACAAAAGATAAAAATGGAAATAGCAAAATAAATAATAAGCAGATCAAGGTGAATCCATATTGACATTGCAGGTAAGTTACAAGGCAGTGACTTCATTTTCATTGAGCCCCAATTCTCAAATCAAGCCCATGCAGATTCTGACATGCTTCCACTATGAGAAGAGTTTTTCCATGTTTTGACTTTATTTACTCCATCATAGACCAAAAAAAAAAAAGTAGTCCTGGCTGGTGTAGCTCAGTGGATTGAGCTTGGAACCAGATGATCGCAGCTCAATTCCCAGTCAGGGCACATGCCTGGGTTGCATGACAGTTCCGAGCAGGGGACTCATGAGAGACAACCATACATTGATATTTCTCTCCCTCTCTCCTTCCCTTCCCCTCTAAAGATAAATAAATAAAATCTTTAAAAAAAAGAATTCCAGACACACAGAGGCACATGACATGTTGCAATTAATTTAACAATAAGATTAGAGGTATAAAAACTATGTATTTAAAATACAATGATTCCTTTCACCTCAAGTTGCAATTAGAACACTTCTCTGGACCTATAGCTGTACATTGTCTGAGCTTTTGGTACTTACATAGGCATAAAAAATACATCTGCAACAAACAATATATTATCTTCTCTTCAGTATTTAATGCTCTTAGTTATTACTGACAAAAGCAATACTTTCACTTAACAGCTGTGGATCTACCTGGAGCAAAGACACAGAGGGGATCCTGTTTTAGAGACGTATTAAATTTCTTTACCAAAAGTCTCCTGTATTATTTTATCTTCTGTAAGGAAGTATGGAGTACAGCTTTGAGCTTCATCATAACATGAAAAATATCTGTGGTCAGTATTTAATCTTTGTGTCATTTCTCCTATGCAATTGTAGTAGTTCTTTTTAATTCCCAATAATTTAATTCTAATTTAAATACATGTTCATAAAGATGCTGAAATGTGGAGAGTAATTCTATGTAGAATATTTATTGCAGCACTACTCATAAAAGCAAAACTTGGAAATAAATGTCCTACAATAGTAGGAAGATTAAATGAGAATGCTCTTTATATAAGGCAATAGTATATAGTCAACAAAATAATATTTTCAAAGGATGTGGAAAATGGTTTTGGAAGATGAAAAAACTCAGTACTTAAAATTTAATTACTATCTTAATTAAATTGTTTAAAAACCTATGGTTGCCTTTGTGTATAAAATATTCAGTTACTAAGAAATAACTATATGAAAATATAAATAAACAATAAAGTCAACAATTCTATTTTCTTCCTGTTTTACATATCTAAATTATATATTACATTTATAATTATAATAAGGTTACCATAAAAGTTTTAATTCTAGTGAACTAAAATATAAGAAAAATGGTAGGATAAAGACCAGAAAAAAACTTTCTATGCACTTCCACTTTTACCTAGTAGTGGATAAACTGGAGTCTCATTGGAAAATCCCTGAGAGTTGCCCTGACCAAGTAGATCAGTTGGTTGGAGGGTTGTCCCATAAACCAAAAGGCCCTGGATTTGATACCTGGTCAGGGCACATGCCTAGGTTGCAGGTTTGGTCCCCGGTCAAGTGGTGTGATATTTTTCTCCCTCTCTCTCTCCTTCCCTTTCCTCTCTCCAAAATCATTATGTATGACCTTGGGTGAGGGTTAAAAAAATCCCTGAGAATCTCTTTCATATTTGCTGAATAAACGAGTCCACACAGCTTCAGAATGTGTGTGTGAACAAGACAAAAACATGTGACCTTTGAATAAAAGTGAATCACCAAATGTAGCAAAAAATATAAATCATTCTGCAGAAATACTATTAATCTGCTAGATAGGTAGATAAGCATAGATATATGAAATGATACAAAGACATGTGGCAAGCAGCCAGAGAGACAATTGGGGAAGATGATAGAGCAATTTTGACTTTAAAAGTTTTTTTACACTTTTAAATGAGGATGTAAGGGTAATTCACCAAATCTCCCAGGAAGGATTAAATTATAACTAATTAAGGCAAAAGAGAAGACAGAAAAGTGTGTGTGTGTGGGGGAGATAAATTAAGAAGGGGAAGAGAAGAGGAAGAGGAAGGAATTAACCCAATTTACAGCTGTAAAATCAGACATTTAGGGAATATAACACCTTTCTCATGATTGAAGAGCTTATACCAGAGCCAGTATTTGAATCCACATCTATTGGCTTTCAAATCTATTTTATTTTAGATCACTAAAATTAAGAGAATTTGGAGTGTATTTTTTTTTATCACAGATTACTGTGGATTGCATAGTTTCAAAGAAAAATTAATTCATGGCAAAACTGTGTCTTCAGCACTATTTTGAAGTGAACAGTGCTTAGAGTTTTTCAAAGACAAACATTAGTTGTTTAAAATTACCTATAATGATGACAGGTGAGTCATCTAATTGTTTTACCATGACAGGAAATTGATCTTTGTTAAGTATTTCCTATGTGCTTAGTACTGTGCTATGTTCTTTACACACATGATTCTAATACTCACAGTGCCATTTTACTTAGATCTAGATTTGATTATTTTTTTTAATTTAATTAAATTTAGTGGGGTGATGCTGATTAACAAACAAACTCTTAACAGCTAGAAAAAAAATGCATATTGCATTGTGTGCCCACCACCTGAAGTCAAATCCTCTTCTGTCAACATGTATTTGAACCCCTTCACTCTCTAGAACCCCCACCCTCCTTCTCTCTGGTAACCACCCTACTGTTGTCTGTGTCTGAATTTGTTTGTTTTTCTTGTATCTTCATTTGTTGCTTTCAGTTTATATCCCACATATGAGTGAAATCATATGGTCTTGATTTTTTTTCTGTCTGGATTTTTTCATTTAGCATGACTGGATAAAGTAGTTGTGGTACATACAAAGAAGCTCATACTACTGAGCCTTAACAAAAGATGAAATTCTGCCATTTGTGACAACATGGGTGGGTCATGAGAACATCATGCATACTCATCTAACTATTGTCATGGTGCATGTTTGCAAACTAAGTTCTGATAGAGTATATATTTTGTCTAAAGTCTTGAAGTTAGTTTTCTCTGTACCATGCTCTCTTCTATACAACATTCAACAAAAACACCATTTTCTTTGTTCTCACTTAGTAATAGTCTTAATTATTCTTTGTTCTTATGGATGAACTCAATGCTCGTCTCTGACACAGACCATTTGGTCTGCCTTTACAATCCCAGGTACTTTACCTATATTTATGCTATGAATCATCACACAATTCCATGAGGTAAGTTCTACTGTTATCCCCATTTAGCAAAGAATAAAGTGCAGAGAGGTTGGCAGAAGGCCCTGTTGATAAACGGTAGAGCTGGTGTTCAAACTGACGTGATCTGGTTATATTAACCTACCTCTACAATCCAGGAACAGTATCAGTCTTCTTGCCATTTTATCTTACATGGTAAACAGTAAATTGCCACTCTGATTTGTAATTTTTTGTTAAATTGACACTCTTATCTGTAAATTGTGAGATTCGTGTAGATTTTTTCTTTAAATACCAGCACTATTATATAACATCTGATAAAACTGAATTTGCAAATTAATAATTAGATTCTTAACCAGTAATCAGTGTTGCAGTCACCAAGAAAAACAAATAGTCTCTCTCAAGGGACTCTTCCCAAGCCATACTTGAAAAGTTTAGAATTCTGTTAAGAAAAAAAAAATAACTTAAATGAGTAAAAAGTCTGAAGCTGAACTTTGAAATTAAAAGTTGCTTGAGGCAGCCCTGGCTGGCATAGCTCAGTGGATTAAGTGTGGCCTGTGAACCAAAGGGTTGCCAGTTCAATTCCCAGCCAGGGCACATGCCTGGGCTGTGGGCCAGGTCCCCAGCAGGAGCGTGTGAGAGGCAACCATGTGTTGATGTTCCCCTCTTTCTCCCTCCCTTCCCATCTCTGAAAGTTTAAATAAATAAATAAATAAATAAATAAATAAATAAATAAAACAAAAAGTTCTTCGAAGCAGCTTTACCCTTTATTTCCAAAATTGATGAGAATCTTGGTTATACCTAACAATTGTAGTCAGATTTGTAACTGAAGCAATGAAAGTATACTAATTGGTCAATTCCACAATGCAAAATATGCTAACGCCTTTTTTCCTATTGACATTTGGAAAGCCTTTCTGCTGGGTTTTGACCACCTAGGAGCAGAATCAGTAGAATGACTAATTCCCACTCTAAGAATGCTCCTCTAATGGATAAAGAAAAGAGATGGTACGTATATGATGAACTATTACTCAGTCATAAAAAAAAGAGTAAAATATTGTCCTGGCTGGTGTGGCTTAGTGAATTGAGTGTTGATCTACAAACCAAAAGGTTGCTGGTTTGAATCCTGGTCAGGGCTCATGCCTGGGTCGCAGGCCAGGTCCCTGGCTGGAGGTGTATAAGAGACAACCAATCTATGCATCACTTGCACATGGATGCGATGTTTTTTGTCCTCTGTTTCTCCCTCCCCTCCCCTCTCTCTAAAAATAAATAAATTTTAAAAAAGAATAAAATAATGCCATGTGCAAGAGCATAGATGGACCTAAAGGGTATCATGCTAAGTGAAATAAGTCAAGCAAAAACAAATACCATATGATTTCGCATGTATATGGAATCTAAAAAAAATACAACACCCCCCCAAAATAAAAGAAAACAATCAAACCTAAAACAAACTCGTAGATACAGAGAACAAATGAAGGGGTGTAGATTGGAGGAGAGTTGGAGAGATGGATAAAAAGGGGAAAGGACTAGATGTACAAATTGCCAGTTATATAAATAGTCACAGGGATATAAAATATAGCATAAGGAATATAGTAAGAAACATTGTAATAACCATGTATGATATCAGATGGGTCCTAGACTTATGAGGGTGATCACTTTGTGAGTCATATGCACACATGTCTAGCTATTATGTTGTACACCTGAAATAATGTAATATTATATGTCAGTTATGATTTTAAAAAATTATTATTTTTATATTCTCCTAGTATTTGCTGAGCCTCCTTTATTAAAGTCAAATAAACTTTTCTTCTTCCCCCCAAAAATATGAATCTCCTTTTATAGCTTTACATAAAGTTTATAAAAATACCATATGATCTCACCTTTAACAGGAAGCTAAACAACAAAACAAACAAGCACAGAGAATAAAAACAAAGACACTGAAATAGAGAACAAGGGGACAGTGACCAGAGGGGAGAAGGAAGGGAATTTAAGGGGGGAAAGGGGGAGGGGTTTAGAGGAACAAGTATAAAGGACACAGGGACCATAACTAAAGGGGGGCTGGAAATGGGAGGGAGGTGGGGAGTATGGGGTGGGGGGTGCTAGGATGGGAGAAATAGACAGAAAACTGTACTTGAAAAATAACTAAATAAAATTTTTTAAAAATTTTGGTCCTAGACTTGTAAAACATTCTTGCCCTTGACTATTTTAAAAATAAAATTTGCATGAAGTAACTTCTAAAGGAACTCTGCTAGGGATTTTCTTAGACAAATCAAGTGGTAGAACATCATAACCCGGCTTGGTTATTTCTGTTTATTAAGATAGGAGATGTTGGCCAGGACATCTGGTTTGCTTTTTAATTCAGGGACTATTTGTTTTTCCTAAATTTAAGTTTTATAACCACTGGGACACTCACTACAGGGGAGCAGATGGCATGTCAGCTTGAGTGGTTTCCTCACGCTAAACCAGCTTTCACTCTTCTGGTGAGATGCTAGGTACCCATACAGAATACATCACTGAAGACGAGAGGAAAAGTAAAAACCATTTATTACCTTTCAGTTTAAATTTTAAGAGTGAATTAGAACAGTGAATACTTTAAAGACCTTTATTTCAAAGCTCAGCTATTTTTGCTTATATTGGAATAAAAACTTTATTTTAAAAAAAACATTTAAAATGGTTTTTGCCATTACAGAAAACAGTTTAATTTCTGCTAAGCTGACAAAATTTGTTAATGAAAAGCATTAGTTGTCATTGTGAATTGGCTGGAATAGAAATTTCAAGCAACCAGGGATAGCAAAAACAGTGTCCACAACCTTCTCCATTCCAGGACTCACTTCTCAACCTGGACTCCAGCCCAGAGGCTGTCTAATTTCACCTTCCTCAGGGTTACAGATCATCAGTGATCCCATCTGTTTCTGCGCTCTTAATGTCTTCTTTTTCTATCTTTGAATCAAACAACACAAAATCTCTCAAAACAATAAGCTTTCTTCAACCCTGTAATCTCATTTCTCTATATTCTTATTCATGAACATGCCTTCTAAACAATTTTCAATGATTCCTTTTTGGTGTTTTCAGTGTTTGTCACTGGGCATCTTTTCACTCCTATGCTCTTCTTGGATAATAGTATACACTGCCCTGACTTCATCTGTAACTTACACCATAAAAATTACTTCATCTCTATTTTTCAGCTCTGTCTTCAGAAGATCCATAAACTAATCACATCCGTCCATTTCGTCATCTTATCAGCATTTTGCACTCATCACACAGAACCCCCAACTATCTCATCCTTCGTCTTGCCTACTAGAAGACCATTTATCCATTCTATTTACTATGTCAATGAAGAGAGACTCCTCCTCCTCTACCATCCATTAAATTTGGTTGGGCATTAATTTGAGGTGATTCTACATTTAGAAATCTCAGCATACTTTCAAGGTGTTTCTTCTTTGCTATGCCTATCTTTGCTGCTGTTCAGCAAAGGGAGGTTTCTCAAACAGAAGAAAGGGGTATTTAGGGAAGGTATGGTCAGAAATACAGTGAAACTCTTGTTATGTCAGGGATGAAGGATGGCACAGACTCGCATGAGCTACACTAAACACGCTGAACTGGGGCAGTTCTATTTAGGAAACTATGGTCTGACATTTTTCAATCACAGATGTTGTTTTACCAGAAATTATATGCTGTTCAAATTCTGTCATATCTTCCTAGTTGGACTAAAATTATCTTGGGTTTAAGAATTGTTTCCAATTCATTTTTAGTTTCAACTTGAATTGCATATAATATGGAAAACCATGAATTGCTTTCAGTCACTTATTCATATATTAGGATATAGTTGGTTTTAACTATAAATACTAAATCCTAAAATTAATAAAATGTTTACAGTAGAGTGGCAAGACACTATTGTGTGTGTGTGTAAAGTTTAAATATTCAAGAATGTTTAAAACTATTTGTTATTATTTCTTATGTTTCTCCTCCCTTATATCCACAAATACAATATCAAATAAGAGAAAGTTCATGTTCTAAGAAACAAAGGATAAAAAGAGTAACTAATAAGAGCCTTCCCAATAAAAGTATATGGCTGCAAAGTAAAAAAAAGTGTTTTTCCCCTAAAGGGAGATATGCATTATAAAATTGAATAATATCAAACCTGCAAATTAATGCTGTATCTCAGTTTGAAATATTAATTAAATATCTCAGTATATTAGTTAAAAAACTTAGAGATTTTTAAATAAAAGTTGGGTAAAATGTAACTCTAATAACATAGCTTAGAAAACTAAAATACAGATGAGAAATAGGTAAAAAAAAAAAAGAAAATACCAAGTACATAGACTATCAGTCTCTGTAAGGATTATATACTCTACATTTTATATCTTCACTTTTGTAATAGAATAATTACTATTTGTTTTGCAATTTTACACAGAATGCCAGAATATGTTGTTGTTTGTAAAACATAATATAATATAATTTTGAAAGATATTACTTCTTGAAGAGAAAAAATAAGAAATCTCAGGTAGAAAAAATACTAACATTGGGTATTATAGCCAATTGAGTATGTTTGAAATTCAAAAAGGTGATATTGAAAGTAATTTGAATATATTTGAAGTTCAAAAATCTTAGAAATAAGCAAGTCCTAAGTAATAATAACAATGCCCTAAGAAATTAAGCTTCTTTAGAATGAAATGTAAAACATCCTACCAAAACGCAAAAAAAAAGAGGGGAGGGGGGAAAAAAAGAGGAGAGAAAGGGGGAGAAAAAAAAAAAAAAACTACTTGTATATTAATTATTGAATAAAATTTTTAATAATTCAATAGTAAAATATCCAATAAAGTAAAATCCAACTTTTAAAAATTTACATTGAAATGATGGAAAACAATTAACATAGACTTTCACCACCATGCATCAGCAGAAAATTCACCTGGTTAGCGATCTGCCGAGCAAGGACATCCATCCTTGATCCTGATTCCGATATCATTTTAGCTGCATAGATCACATCAGTTGTGTGCTTTAGTGGTCCTTTGCCCCTTAAAATAAAAAAGTACATGTTAATTGTAGTGGTTCATGATAAGATACACACACACACCCTACACAAACACACATAAGATTTGCATCCCAAAGTACTGGCCAATAGCTTTACATACTTCAGTTTTAGACAGGCCTAAACTAGACTTTGGTATTAAAAAAGAAAAATAACACCCTGGCTGGTGTAGCTCAGTGGGTTGAGCATGGGCCTGTGAAGCAAAAGTTTACTGGTTTGATTCCCAGTCAGGGCACATGCCTGGGTTGAAGTCCAGGTCCCCTCTGGGGGGCATGCAAGAGGCAACTACACATTGATGTTTCTCCCCCTCTCTTTCTCTCTCTTACCCTCTCTCTAAAATAAATAAATTAATAAAATAAATTAAAAAGAAGAAAATGGAGATCTCTTGATAAGATTCAGGAAATACTGCTGGGGAGATGCAATACATTTGATCTTCACTCCTAGGTGTTTCCTGTAATAAACTTCAGCCTAGAAATACTCTTGGACAATGTAGATAACTCAAGGCAAAACTATTTCTCTAATTCTAGGAAGATACGTGAGAATTAAAATTTTATACATGTTAGACAGCACATTTTGATCAGCAAGGGCTACCTTTATCTCTGCTCTTTGAATCCTTTTTTAAATAGTGTTTTGGTTAATTGCATTTTTAATCACCTTATTTCTCTTCCACATATAATTGGCATTTATGTCATCACTGAGTATGAACATGCACTTTCATGTACTATTTCCCCCAAATGGGATACTTCTTACTATTTGTGTAAGTAAATCGAGATAAATACTCACTTTGTTTTTTTTGGTGATAATAGAAACGCCCACTACACAGAATCATTCCAAGGATTTACATGCATTTATTTCTGCAAAGTGCTCAGAACATTGCTTTAAACAAAGTAAGCAATCGATAGTACAAGTTATTATTGTTGTTGCTACTTTATAAAATAATCTTGATTTTTAATGCCATGAAATAAAAGTTGTGTTCATTTAGAGATTTTCAAAGTAGTGAAGAAGAAAAAACTCACCACCCACATTTTTGTAGAGGAATGAGATAAGGAGCTATTTCTCTGACTTCTCTTTCCTTAAAACTAAGTGGATGATGGCCCGAATGAAAGTGACTGACCCATCTACCGGAAGCGGCTCCTCTCCTTGTCCCGTGATGTCCAATTCCTGATCCTCCACTGTGTGTCAGTTACTTGGGTTCTGTTCTTTGTGTCTAGCAGCGGATGGGACCCCGAAGGAACTGCTCACTAACAAATTGTTTTATTTTCTGGCTTTTCCTGTGTGTTTTTTAAAATGTATTGGGGTGCCAATGGTTAATAAAATTGTTAGGTTTCAAGGGTACAACTCTATAACACATCATCTATATATTGTGACATAATTGTTTCGATGTTCTAGTGGGAGTGGGGAGATTGAGGGAGATGGGAAGGAGGAGGAAACTGGTCAGGGCAAGAAAAGGAAGATTTAAAGAGGCCGAAACAGAGTAGAGTCAGATGAGAAAGGGAGTGAAACAATCATTGTCGATGTCTTGTTTACACCTTCACCTGGTCCTGGGCAGATGCCCTAATGTTATTAAATCTAAGGGTTTGTTATTAGAGGACATTATCTACTCACTAAGGAGAAGATGACTATGAGGTAATGAAAGATAGAGGGAATGCACGTAAAAATAAATGATCAGAATATTCTCTGCCTGAAAACCGAACACAAAGATGTGTGTGCCAAATAGGCCCTTTCTTATTGCACTGTTTTGTGGCGCCTCTCAAATTCACTATAAACAAGTTTTCCTGTAAAAATGGAACATCAGGTCTAACAACGAAAACCTGGCCTCTGAAGATATGGTCCTCATCATACTGCTTTTTAAATCTGCTGACACATGTTGCTTTGTAATTTTTTAAAAAAATCAACAGTAATAGCTACAATATTTGAGTTGCTCTTATCGAATTTACCTCATGCATCAGCAGGACTAGATGTTATGTACATGGTTATGTTCAAGAAAGGCATTGCATTTCATTATTTCTATGTACCTCTGGAGAAAGTTAAACTTAAATAAAGCTGTCTAAGCTCCCAAAAGGGCAATGTATCAATTTTCAAGGCCTGAAACAATAAACAAAGGTTGTCTGTAAGGACAGCAGCTAACACTCACAGTTTAAACAATGGACAAAAAAAGTTACATTTAAGGAATACAGCTAATATACCTTTCTGCTCAAAATAATATATTTCCTCCCATAAAATCTCTGTGCCAATGAAAGGGAAATTACCTCTAGGTTTAAATGCACACCTTGTTATGAGACCACTATCTTAAGCGCATGGAGAACTTAAAAGTAACAATAATACATTATGACAGACTGCAATTATTCTCTTCCTCGTGTTCCTAATTAAATGTATTGCCTGGCAAGCTTCCTACTGAGTGCCAAACAAAATACACATTTTACAAATGATTCCATATTATGCTAAGCTTCCAGAGGAAGCTGCAATTACTGGAACTATGATAAATTTTTTTAACATTCTCAGCCTGAAATGTGCTATGTAATGAAGGCTTTTTAAATTGGGAAATATATTCAAAGGTTGTTTGTTGCCTTCATTTTCATAATGGGTTCTCAGGATCTCCTGTCAGCAAATTGTGTCTTAAATCACTGAGTTTGGATCCTACAAAGAAAGAGGCTCAGAAGAGGAGGGGTAGACTTTGGAAATGTTTTGAAGAAACCAATGGCCAGAAATCTTTAATAAATAGTGTTTATGATAATAATCTATCTATTCCTCACCCCCAAAAGAAGGCAGATCAAGCTCTAGGATACAGTCTGCCAATAAATCATGAAATTATAGGTTAGAAGTTATAATGGGAAAGAATACAATAACCCAGTGATGTTGGTGCCATGGAAAATTTTATTAATGCAAGAGAAAGCGATGCCTTGAAACTTTCTTTATGCAACATAAAGCTCTGAGTTATTTCTGACACTGCCTCAACTTTGATTCTTATATCTCTCCCCATTTCTGACATCCACTCCTCTCTTCTTTCTCTTAATCAGCACAAGCATCGCGGTAAGAAGATGATGCAGCTGACCAGTAACAGTTCAACAACTAGAAATCTGTTTTAATAATCGAAAATATCAAATAGTTTCTGCTTCCAATAAAACACACAAATGCAAAATTATATTTTAAAAATGATCTTAAGACACCAAGAAGGGTTACCCTGAGTGCAGCAGAAAGCAACGCGGAGGGTTAGGTTCCGGGGTGGGGCGGTTCGGGGGAGGCCCACCGACACTGACCGGGCCACACGCACCCGCTGCAAGGACACCAGCTGGCTCCGCATCCCAGTCCCAGAAATAGAAATACGCTGCATTACCTAAACTTTTGGAGTCACGGAAAATGGTAGCAATAACACCAGTAGTCCGAAGTCCTGGAATTTTTTTCTGAGGTTATTATCACTTTTTGTTATGATTTATTCTGGGACCTTCCCCCCACCTCTCCCTTCCTCCCTTCATTTTAATCATCAAACTCAAACTCAGCCATTGCAATCACAATACCGGATGAGCAGTTGTACTTTGATATTCATTTATAATACAACAAACAGAACTTTTATCTGGAATCTCACTGTTAGACATTTATTTTACTTAATTCTAACACTGAAATTTAGTGCGACAACAAAGTACAGTGAAATAAACATGAACTTGGAAAACATTCTGTCTTCGCCCCAGCACTGACACTTGTCAGCCATGTCCAATGGCCGTGGGCGACTTGGACGGTCTGAGCTTATTAACTCCTCATTAAAACAGTGACTATAACACCTGCCCCGCAGTACGGATACATAGAATCATGTATTTTACACTGTGTTTGGCACATACTAGTTGCTCAGCAGGTGTTAATTTTTTTCTTCTCTTACCCCTTTACAAGTAATGATATTATGTAAAAGATGGCCTTTTAAATTTTGATTTAATGATTACAGTACTTGCCAGACCATATGAACTGTCTTGATTTTACTGAGCTCCTTTTCACACCTCAGGATACTTTTACTAAGAAAAAACATGTGAAATAGAGACAGCTATCAACCGGGTATGTAGTCGCTGTTGTTTAAGATTGTTCTTTGACTCCTTATGAGGAGTTGACTTATATTTAGTGGACATATTTTTGGTAGCATGAACTTCCCAAGATTGACAATTTAGCTCTACAATTCTCTTGCTTGTAGTTCTGACATTGGATGCAAAAGATAAAACTAATTATCATAGAAGCAATGGAAAAGGATGATGTGAAGAGAGGCACTAGACTGAAGCATGAACACACTGTTCCTCTAACTATTCAAGCACGAAACTTCGATTAGGCAACTCTTTCTCCCTTATGACCTTTAGTCTTGTAAGTTATCATTCTCAAGTTTTGAGGACCCTATAAAATTCCATAAAAAAATCAGCTAGTGAATAGTCAGCTATTTTCTGAATAATCAGTATCCTGAAGAAACTTTGGAATTCAAGCCTGAAAAAAAATATGTCTTGTGAAAGAGAGAGCATAGTCTGGACATTCTGTGATGTCTGTGTGTTATATGCAACACACATATACATGCATGTCATATAGAATTATATTCCTACTGTAATATATAACATGCATGTACGCCTGTGTTCATTTATGCTCTTTTCATTTCATGTTATTTGGGAATAGCCTAACAATAACAGACTATCTTAGCCCTCAGCCCAACAATATTTATTCCTCTTCTACATCACAATCAAGGTGTGCTTCAGGGTGATAAGCTGTGTATCACACAGCATTTAAGAACCCAGGCTCCTTCTAGGTACAAGATAACCTATTCCCTAAGGCACCATTGCCCTTGGATGGATCCATTTCATTCAGACATCTGACAAAGGAAAAGAATGAGGATAACAGAAGAGAATTTAGGGTTCAGAATAAGAATTAGAAAACATCACTCCCACTGATATTTCATAATCCAGACACACAGACTCATTTCACTGACAAAAAGCCTGGGGAATGTATTTTATTGGGGCACAGGAA